CCTGGGCTCCTAAGGAGCTTGGTTTCTGCAGCTGGGTCAGTGGCTGTGGTGTCCCTTCTGCCTGACGCCTGTGTGAGTCAGTCTGGTGGCGCCTCCTTCCTGTTTCTTCCATCACCTCCATGACTGTTATTACCTCCACGTGCCATGGCGAAATGGGGAGATGGAGGCTTCTAGACACTCCTGCATGGTCCCACAAAATAGAAGGCCCTACTGGGTTGAAGTAGGCTCATACTGGGGCGTATCACGCCCCGGGGTGCGCTGAGCTGTGATCTGTGTCGCAGGCAGTGTGTTCCAAGCTTGCAGTGATTTTATGTGAGCATTGTCGATGGTCTACGCGCTACGTGCATGCTAGCAGAGACCCTTGATGCCTTAGACATAAAGGGGGGGCAGGCTCCGGAACCTGTCTGCAGTCCCTCTTCCCTAGATTGCTGGCTCAGGGAGCATTCTGGGGACTCACCAGGCACCCTACACTGCAGTCCCCCGCCTGTCTCTGCGGGGACGGCCCTTTCCCACCCAGAGCGGAGCTGCTGAGCTCTGAGCATCTGGTTTGCAGCTGCCATCGGAGCAGGCTGCTTTACACACACAGCAGATGCGTGACCTCCTGCACCCATCCTGTAGCACCCTGCGCCTGAGGGGTACCCTCAAGAAGGTCTTGGAGGGAGAAGAGTTTGAACAATCTGATGTTCATGCCCATTTCTCATCTCCATCCTGCATCTCTCATCATTTACTCCAATATAGGGAGCCTGATCCCCTCCCCACTCCCGGCTTTAGGAATAGTGGTGAAGGGAGGGGAAAGAGCCCAGGGGAAGAGGGAGGAGATTCAGGACCAAGTCTCCACCCACGGGCTGTGTGGGAGGGGGGGCCTCTCCCGCTGAGCTGGCCTGGGCCCCAGGTGCTGTCTGCGCCCCATCGCCGCCTGGTCTGCTGCAGTCGGCTCTTCGAGGTGACGGATGTGAACAAACTGCAGAAGCAGGCTGCACACCAGAGGGAGGTGTTTCTCTTCAACGACCTGTTGGTGGTGAGTGGACTGGGCGGGACC